ATTTTATTAAAAATTAAAATAACGGTTTTCCAAATTAAGTCACGTTTTTAAGGTAGCACCCCGAATCAATTTTCCCAAAGTAAAAGGTTTTAATTTTAAAAGACTTTGCGAAATTTTCGCACTCTGATTTTACGATAAGGCGGGGTGTTACAGTAAATGTTTTATCTATAATGACCGCGTCCAACTTGGGAAGTTCGATGCAAAATCGGATATTGGATTCTTTCTTGGTTACTCTAACAATAGTCGAGCATATCGTGTTTACAACACTAGTACCTCCACTGTGATTGAGTCCATAAATGTAATTTTTGATGAAAAAAATTCTCAAGCCAGTTCCTCTGTATCCTTTAATCAGTTTGAAAATGTTGAGGCATTGCAGGTTACTCAGGGTGTTAAGAGCTCTACAGACAAGGAGATAGCCGAACCTTCTGTCGAGAATGCTGAAGCATCAACTGACTATATTGTCCCTGCGACCCAAGAAGGTTCTGAGTTACCTATGCATGATCCTCCATTAAGGGTTCAGAAAGATCATCCACCCGAGCAAGTCATTGGTGATATAAACGAGAGAGTCACTAGGAACTCGAAGACGATAGTCAAAGAACTTATGGGTGTCTCTCATTATGCTTGCTACACCTCACTCCTTGAACCAAAGAATTCTAAAGAGGCCCTGAAAGATGAGTGTTGGATTTTAGCCATGCAGGAGGAACTGGAATAATTCGCTAGAAACGATGCCTGGGAGTTAGTACCTGAACCTTCCTTAGGAAATGTTATCGGAACCAAGTGGATCTTCAAAAACAAAACTGACAAGTTCGGGAATGTGACCCGGAACAAGGCGAGACTAGTTGCTCAAGGCTGCACTCAGACTCAAGGAATTGATTTCGATTAAACTTTCGCCCCTGTTGCTAGACTTGAATCGGTACGCATATTTTTATCTATTGCATGTCTAGTGATGTTCATTGTCTACCAAATGGACGTGAAGTCTGCCTTCCTGAATGGGATACTACATGAAGAGGCTTACGTGAAGCAGCCAGAAGGGTTCAAAGATCCCAAGAATCCGAATCATGTTTACATGCTTAAGAAAGCATTGTACGGATTAAAGCAAGCCCCTCGCGCGTGGTATGAACGCCTTACTATGTACCTTCTAGAAAAAGGATTCAA